ATAAAATACCATATTTCAAATGACACCTCTTGGCACAAATTATATAGATACAAACACATACACACACACACACACACATACACACATATATATATACACACACACATATATATATACACACAAATATACATATATATATACACACACACACACAAGTAGTATTATATTATTATTATTATTATTATTATTATTATTTATTTGGTTGTTTATGTTGGCTCAAAAGTGTCACAGAAACTGGGCTGGACCCTGAATGCCCCAAAATACCGCATGGCGATGACTACCACAAGAGCAACGTGACGCACAACAGAGCGCGAGAACCCTTAAAAGCCCCTAATTAATATCATAGTAATAACATAATAGACCATAACTAAGGTTGTGCGCAAATAACCCAATAGAAACATGAAAATGCACTTAAAACGGTGACTTGTAGCAGTATAGCAGGTCACCCGGTTCACCCCAGAATGTAAATATTAGCTGCATTCTCGCGGACGCCACATTTAGGAGAGGCGCCCTGTTAGCGCTGAAGCTCTCGTACACGGACTGAACGAAGCTAACGCAGACCGGACAGGTTTTACAAGGAGTGAACCAGTGAAGTGTAATTACCTTTCCTTGATCCATGGCAGTGCAGGGAGTTATTTCTTCTTTTTCCTCTTCTATTTCTTCTTCTTCTTTGTTTCGGCTTTTCTTTTGTCGGAGCTGAATACGATGGAACAACTTCCTGGGGGTGTCCCGGTGGGTTTCGTTCACAAATCAGTCATCCCCAAAAGTTTTTGTTCCGCGGAAATGACCTCAAACTTCAGTCCAGTTCTTTTTGCTTTCTTTCCTATGAAGAAATTATTCAGAGGTCTTTCTGTGATATAAAAAGAAAAAAGCCGGGGAAGCTGTGGCTGGAGACCCGCTCCCGTTATTTGGCTCCTGCTTCTTTTGTAACTTACGAGCTTCAGCAGCTTTAATTTACAGCTTCGGTGCTGGGTAAAGTTTTCCAAGATGAATCCTAAGTGTCTTTTGATGCTGGAGTAGTGCCGCTGTCACGATTATGAAAACAGCTCTTAGGCACATGAGCCGGTTTAGTGTTCATATACAAATTGTTTCTGACGCAATAAGTAGTAGGCGTGGCGCTAATGAAGGAGGTTGGTCCTGTTTGCAGCCAATGATGGGCATCACAGGCAGGGAGGACGCGTGGTGAGACTGCACGCACGCTGTGGTGGAGGTTGAGTTATGACTGTCGTACTTTCTTGTTGAATTTCAGATCAAAAATGTAAGTTTCTAGTGCTAATTCTTTCAGCTCTTTTTACCAATAACTACAAAATTAATATTTTCTTTACCGTATGAAGTGCATATGAAAAGATAGATAGATAGATAGATAGATAGATAGATAGATAGATAGATAGATAGATAGATAGATAGATAGATAGATAGATAGATAGATAGATAGATAGAACTTTGGTGGGTGCTAACATTCGCATATGCAGGAAAATTTCTTGACAACAATCCCACACTGATTGTTTTCATAGTGCTATTAGGAGGCCTTTTCACTTCACAAAATCTTAAGTAAAAAAACGGGCTTCATTTTAATAATATGTAAAGCCTGGTAGGGGAATTTCCAGTGTGGAAAGTGACACACAAAAGCAGTCAACGTGACAGAGTCTAAAGTCACAGTATCAATCAAATTTGTCCCTTAATAGAAATACAAAATACAAATGCAGCTGTTTAGTATGTGTGGATCAGAATGAGTCCTTCTGGTATAACAAAAAATAAAAAGTTTATGATATCTTTAATTTATTTGTAGAACATTACTGAAACAACAACAGGAAATGAAGCAATTTTTTGGTCTGGTGGTTAATGCAGCTGTAAATGCAGCAGACAGTGAGGACTACCAGCTGGGCCCTTATGTCACATATCCTTCCCCACCTCTCTCTCCTGCAGTTTCCTGCCACTCTCTACTATCTACCATCTACTCTCCAAAAAAGCCATAAAATATGCCCCTGCCAAAATGACATGCTCAGATTAATGGTAAGATCAAGGTATGGTTGCACTATCACCTTATCTTTTAGGAACTTTGAATGTGAGTGTGCTGTTTAACTGCAAGGCGTTTAGTAGTTTAGTCTGAACCAAAGTGTCAAACATATACACAGCCTTCCCTAAAGCCAAGCTAGTACAGCTAATGTCTAAAAAGAGTAATAATGAAGTGAAACCGGAGGCATTGTAAAAAAGAACCCTAATGCCAAGGTTCTGTGACAAATTCTTCTTTTTAGCTTCCTAAAGCATCAGCCAAAGCCACAAATATAAAGCCTTGTTCTTTTGTCTTAAAACTCCATGTTAAATAAGTCATGCAATTTATCAGCGATAATGTGTTTAAGTTGCCATATATTCACTGATGTTTTCTTCTAACCTTTAGTTCAATTCAATTCAATTCAATTCAATTCAATTCAATTCAATT